TTGCAGAAAATGTAAAAAATGGATCTGACCGTTTAAACTTTGGTGGTAAATGTATTGGACATGAGAGAATCCTATTTTTATTGCTTCCTAAAGTATAACTGGTAATTTCAATAAATACAAAAGTATGTATATTCAATATTAATTATAAGATTATTTTGGTTTATTTCGTTGAAGGATTAATGCGTTCCATAATATAACTCTTACAATTTGATGGATTAATCATAAAATTGATGAAGAACTACAAAAATATTTTAGAGTCCAACGTTTTACAATTTTTGGAAGTATACCAGTCAGCAGTTGGAATATTAATACAGATTCCCTGAAAATTATCTTATTATAAGGAAATAATTCTAAATTTTTGATACATATGTACATTAGACCGACTCACTCTGTATGGAAAGCAAAAACGTGTTTTTGTTACCCCTCCCAAAATTTACCTTGCTTTGGACTGCTGGACCCAATTAAAAAAAGGTATTTTGGAATTATTTTTTTTAAATTTTTGTTTGTTTTGAAACAAAATATCCAATACGGGGTATCGTTTAAAAGGTATTTTAAAGTCGCGTCCAATGATGTATTAATCATAAATAACCGTTTGCTTATAATTGTCATATTCCAAAATATTTAAAATTGTTAGGTTTTTACTAAGAAAAATTAAATATATGCACAATTTTGCAAATTTTGCGCACCACTAGACTTGGCTTCAAAAAACCTTTCAAATGATACCACATACTGTATATATTGTTTAAGAAATGCTGTATAATTTAAAACAAAATAACTAAAAAGGGACTTTTTTGTAACCGGTTCAGCTCACGAACGGCCATCGATAGACTAGAAATATTTTGGGAACCATTATAAAACATAACAAAGATTTTTTGAAGCTGGATAAAATATTGAATTTAACATGAAGAATCGTGTTCCCATACGATATTTTCTTTAAAACTGTCCAGCTCACGAATGGACAACACTTAACCGAAAATATTTTGGGTAATATCATATTACATAACAGCGAATATTTGTGAGTCGGTCTAATGTACATATATTACTTTTTTTAGATTAGTTGTTAAATCTGTTATTTTTTCTACTATTTTAATTTCAATTAATTCAATAAAAACTATAAAATTTCATTTTATTTAGATTTATTTTTATAGATTTTATTTTGGTGAGTATACAAATAGAAGAAGAGAAAACTCATCTTCTAGAAGACGAGAATACTCATCTTCTAGAAGAAGAGAATACTCATCTTCAAGAAGAAGAGAATACTCTTCTTCTAGAAGAAGAGAAAACTCATCTTCTAGAATATAAGATAGGAACACTTCTAGAGGATACTAGGTAGTCACTTCAAGAAGTGACTTCCTAGTCACATCTAGAAGAGTCTTTGGCAATACCTTACTTCCAAGAGTCATCTAGAAGTTTCTTCTGCGGGTCTTCCAGAAGTATCTTCCAAGTTACTATTAGACGTTCCCCAGCTCGGCATCAGTTCTTCCCGACTGGTGACAAGAATTCTTATACTTCCGCAACATCGCTGGCGAGCTTTTAGCACGTTTGGAAGTTTCACACGGGTAACTTCCGCAATAGAAAATGTTTGTAGGGCTTACTTGTGTATTTTCTTATTTGAGCATGTGTTAGTTGATTATCTCTCAACTTGCAAAACAAAATCAAATCAGTTGCTGATCAGCATTTGTCGAAGTAAGATCTGTACGCAACTTTTTAAAATCCACACAGAAATACAACAACAAAATTTTGAGAGAGCCGAATTTATGTAGGTGAATGAGAGAGCACAGCTGATAGTTTTTTATATATGAACTTTAATGTACGCTGTCTGTCAAAATCCATAATATCAATTTGACAGTTAGAATATACTTTTTAGTATGCAGTCATTTTATTAGTACAGTTTTATTTTGGGTTACATTTTGTTCTCTGCTGCTTTACCAATACAAATGAATGTGTAACAGTGTGTGTATGGGCAACACTGCTCTATATACATACATATGTACATATTTTTGTTATACTCTATAATACATAGTTTTGTTAATATTTAGAAATTACAGATTTATTTCTCATTATTTAAATTTCTCTATTTCGTATCATTAACTAAGACAATATTTGTGACCCTCTAGAATTCCTAAATAAACATATTTAAAGTATTTATTAAAAAAATAATAAAAATTTCCACGATAATTATTTTTATACAATATTAACAACATAAACATTAACCAAAAATGTTAAATATGTACTTGACAGAGAAAATGATACAATTTACAGAGAAAATGATACAATTATTGTTCTTATTAGTTGTAAGCGATTGTGGTACTAAGGTAATTGCTGAGTAAAAATAATGACTTAAAATGCTAATGTGTGTGTCAATTTTAGCATTTTAATACCCTACATGGTAAGTAATAAACATTTTTACTGAGAAAATTGAAAAATTACTTTCAAAGAATAAAAAGTAAATAAAGTTTATCTGTTCTTTTAACGATTTTTTAAATAAACTAACAATATTATTTCTTGTTAACATTTAAGATTTTATATTATCAATGGATTTGTTTCATTGTTCTAACAAAGATTTAGTATGTTTATCAAAATATTTCGAATAATTTCAATTATATGCAGGAAAAAGTTAGTAAACCAAAAAGTTGATATTAAATATTATAAAAAATAAAATGTTTTTGCTACGGACGGATAGAGCAACAAATTTTTGCCCTCTATGACAAATATTGTTATAACTTTATTAATAATCTATCCAAAATTTAAGTCTTAAAGAAGTCAATTTATTAATATTTCTATGTTTCGCTTATTGCAAACATTTATTTTTACATGCATAGTTTCAACACTATGAGAATTTTGTTAAAGTATGCATTTACTTATTTCGTTTTTTTTACCTTTCTTAATTGCCCAGTATTTTTTTATTGGACTTTATTCTGTTCAATTTTGGATTGTTTAGTTTTGGTGCAAAGTTGATTTTTTTGTAAATTTAAATTTAATTAAATTTCATTTATTTCATTGATCATATAATTATGTTTCTTATATACTGAGAACTACTAGGTTTGGTCAAAATAGTGAGTTTGTAGTGTGAAATCATACAAATGGTAACCATCGATTTTCAAAGCATTCTTCTCCATAAATTTCGCCATTAATTGTACCACTAGTAAAAACAGGTTTTGTATTTCTCACACAAGAAAAAATTGCTGGCATAACTAGCTACATTTTTGGAAATTTTAGCTTAATTTTATTATTAATATTATTCAATATTCTACATAAATTTTCCTGCCTTGGAATACAGATAATACCCTATTCAAGTCCAACATTTTATTTAAATTGTTCAATTTATTTTTTGAAGATAACAACGAATAAAATATGATTCGGTTTTTATGTCGAATTGAACTTGTTGTATTATTATGTATTTACTTTAATAACAATTTAATTAATCGGAAATTAAATATGTTTTTAAAATGATTTGCTTTCTTTATTATTCAAATTGACATAAAAGCAAAGTTTAAAAATATGTATAATCATTTTTTCTGTTTACCATTAACTATATTTTATATTTACAAACTAACTATTACAACAGTAAATCTTTTTTTCAATATGACAAACTAACAAATTTTAATAATATTAACAATACAAGAAAAAAGTCTTCTAAAATAAAAACAATAGAAAAGAAAACTAAAACTAAAAGAAAAATAATTGAAATATATTGAAAACAAAAAATCGATTTTTTTATAATATTGATACTTTTTATATTCAAAAATATTTTATATATAATTTACTTTAGATTAAAAAACACAATCATATTATGTGAACAAAATATGGTAGACCAAAAATTACTATGTATCTTAAATAAGTATGATTTTTCTAAATAAATAAAAAATTTCTAAATAAATAAATCAATATAAATCTGTTATTTTCTAAAAAACAGTCTAGATTTGATAAAAAAAAGTTAAATTTTTCAACTGCAAATATTCATAATCTATTTATAGTTCCTTTGCAAATTTTGAACAGTTAATTTGTGTATAGTATAATTTATTCTAATCTTTAATTAAAAAATATTTGTGACCTCTAACATACCTAATGAGACATGAAAATATAATAATTAAAATGTCTAGAAAACAAAAAATCTCAATCTTAAAATCATAATGAAATAAAAAAGTTTCTTAAGACAATTTCAAACATTTTTGAACAAATATAAATACATATCATTTTTTTACATCAGTCTTTACCATTTCCATTATCATTTTCTATACATGTGCCCAGTTTTAAACATTATATAATTCTACAAACCGTTTATAACATCAAGATCTATAATATTCTATGGTTGCAATTTATAATTTTCATAATAAAAAGTCTTTAAATATTCAAAAACTATTTTATTTAAGAAATATTTGCGATAAGTAAAATTTTGCTAGACAATCAATATCATATTTTGTTGGATACCTCCAAATTCGTCAATATCAGGGGGGTATCGTGCTCCTCTGCCCCAAGGAAATTCATTTTAAAGAATTTTTGACAGTTTTTTTGATTCTTTATTTGTTATTCTCTTTTTGTGATTCTTTTATATTTGAACTGAATTTTATAAGAAATAAAAATGTTTTTGTTTATAAAAAATATATAAGTTATTTTGTTTTTTTTTTTTTTTTGCACGGAGAGCTTTTTTTAATACTAACAATCTAAGTTACCATATTGCATACAGTTTTACCCTTGGAACTGACCACAAGTCATCCAGTAGAAAATTCAATTCTGATATTGACCATTTGGAGGAATCCAGATTTCTCAGGATCTGGTCAGCGGAGTTTTTGCACGGAAAGCTTTTCTAATCTATGTAATGTATGCTACAATTTTCCATAGAGTTAATCTCTTGGAACTGACCACCTATCATAGATATTTGCTTAATTTTTTATTTGTTCTTTTATTTACAAAAAAAAAGTTACAGAATTAACTCCAAATTAGTTGTTCCTTGTGGAGAAATGGTAAGTAATATCTGTAAATAAAGAAAAATACATTTTAATGTGTTTTATTCTTAATAACATTAATTCCATGTTTTTTTTCCAAAAAAAAAAAATTAGTTTGAAAAATATATGCAAATTTTCTAATTTTTGGCTACTGTCCTGAAGCTAATGGATGAAAGTATCCTCAAGTGCCTGAAAATAGAAGAAAAAACAAAAATCATAATTAACTAAGATTTTCTGTTTTCATTTAAGGCTACACTTTTCATCAACATTGACGAATTTTGTCAAGGCTACTGACCTGAAACTAATCTTTCCGGGATCAGCGGTAAGTATCCTCTAGTGCCTGAAAATAGAAGAAAAAAAACAAAAATCATTATTAACAAAGTTTTTGTGTTTTCATTTAAGCCTACACTTTTCATCAACATTGACGAATTTTGTCAAGGCTACTGACCTGAAGCTAATGGAGGAATTGGACCAAATCTCTCCTAGATCAGCGGTAAGTATCCTCAAGTGCCTGAAAATAGAACAAAAAAACTAAAATCATTATTAACAAAGTTTTTCTGTTTTCGTTTAAGGGTACTCTATGGACAAAAATTTACAAATTTTGTCAAGGCTACTTACTGACCTGAAGCTAATGGACGAATTGGACCAAATCTTTCCGGGATCAGCGGTAAGTATCCTCAAGTGCCTGAAAATAGAACAAAAAAATAAAAATCATTATTAACAAAGTTTTTCTGTTTTCGTTTAAGGGTACACTATGGACAAAAATTTACAAATTTTGTCAAGGCTACTTACTGACCTGAAGCTAATTGGACCAAATTATGCACGGAATAAACTGAAATGGAAGCCAAACATATTTTTAAATTTATAACTTTCAAATATGTTACAAAGTTCTATTTAATATACTTACAATTACTGTAATGATTACTAGTTTTTATTTTGTTGTGTGATTTTTTTATCGACCTTTTCTGGTCTAGATAATAAACTAATTAATAGACTAGTCAATAAACTAATCAATAAACTAATCAATAAAGTAGTCAATAGAGTAAGCAATAAAGGAATCAATAGACTGATCAATCTATTCAATAGACAAATCAACAGACTACTCAATCGACTAATCAATAGACTAGTCTATAACGTAATCCATACACCAGTCTATACACTAATCTATAGGTCAATCCTTGTGTATGTAAATGTTAGTGTTTTTGTGTAATCATTTTTTATAGCCACCGGCTACGACCAAAGACTTCATAGCCGGCCGGCAATAAAAGAAGAATACACTAAACACTCTTACAAAGCACACTTGCACAATATTCCAATTGGTAAATATATTAACCAATTGGAATTAAAGCCGGAAACGCAAAGTTTCAGTTTACATTTTGGACAGAAATTTTTCCCATTGAAATTGTTAAATGAAAATTTACGTTCCGGCTTTACTGGACACTTAAAAATTCAAACTCTTACCTTGTCGGATCCTTCGGAAAGCGATGAAGATTCTCCCATCCAAGACAATCCTTAACACATTTGCGGCTCCTGAAAAATAAAGAAAACATTAGAAAAAAATAAATTTAAAAATTTCCAAATTATACTTACATGTTGCTGTTTATTGTTGTTTTTTTTTTGCGCCCAATAAAAAATCCCCAAACACCAACTACCACTCTTAAATGACACAACAGAAATGAAGAATTTGCACCAAAATCGCAATTTGGAAGCCCAAAATGAAAGCAATTTTGGCACAAAGTGATGCCACTTTGACAAGTTTTAGTGCATCTTTCCGTCGCTTGGTGGCCGTGTCGCCTCTACTTTGTGATATTGTGTTGCCATATATACGATATTTGTGTTGCCATATACTTTTCAATACATTTTGCGGCATTGGATTTTTTCACATGTCGCCTAAGAACTTCACGCAAAAGCTTAACAGTGGTGCTACGACGAAAAAACAACGATTTCAACGCACATTTTTACCAAACAGCGATAAAAATCGTCTAACTTTCGTAATATCACCTACAATGCAGCCTTTTTCTTGTTGACAAACGTAAACAAACAAAAAACACTTTTGTTTGTATTTATAGAATTTTATTTATAAAATTTTATTAAATAATTTTAATTTAGAACACAGTATATGTTCGAAAAGGTAAAGGAACGTGTTATTGCCGAAAAGAGGTTTGTTAGCAGATAACACTTACTATGGTCCCCAATGATCTTGCATCCAGTTGAGTCTGCAACTTAATCCGCAACCATCGATCACAACAACTATAGTACCTTGGAATAAAATGGAGGACATAACATGGATTACAATGTAACCCCTCAGTTTACTTGTTTTTTTTGTTAAACATTTGTTTTTATATTTAAGGTACTCAACAACGTTTGCAACAAGTACCTGGAAAAAAATCAGTGCAACCCATCTATAATATTGAATCCCAAAATATCAAATTGGAAATACAGGATCTTTAGCAAATCCAAATGTTGGCATATTTTTTATAATATTGATCTTTGAAAATGAGAATGCGACCATTTAATGTGAAATCGGAAATACAGGATCCTTATTAAAAGCGAATATGCATATGTACAGTTAATCTCAAAAATAAGTATACAGAAATACTGACAATTGGTTTTATTTAAAAAAGGATATTATTTTTTCAAAAATCAAAAAAGTAACACATTTATTTATTAAAAACAATTATGATAATTATTATTCACTACTTTTTTTCTTCATATTTTGGTTCTTTGAGTTCTCATTTAAGCTGAAGTTAAGAAGGTGCAAAATTTACGTCACAAAAATAAGTATACAGATAATTTTAATATGTATTTGGCTTAATGATATTAACAAAATTCATGAAAATTTTACCGTTTGAATGTAATTATTTTATAATAAAATATTCTGTACACTATAACATGGAAAAAATTCACTTTTTGTTCCGAAAAATTTAAATTTTTGGTAATTGATCTGAATATTATTTATAGGAGCATTTTTTCCTATTTAAGAACATCTGACTATTTAAACCCCCGGAGTTTGGATCGGGTATTCAATAATATCCCTCGTTTGTTCATTATGATGCATTGGAAGACGATATTTTAACTTTTAAATTAATTGTTTCTGTACAATAATTGCAATCCATTGCGGAACATTGCCGTTTTTAACATAGTATAGCGTTCATATTCGATACTTAACGACGATTTCCTAAAATTTATATCTTAAATTGCGATATTAATAATATTTGTACTAGTATCCATTAATTAAAACAAGTTTTTTGGTTCCAATCATCCATTACACACTTCTAAATACTACCAATAATCGTCAAATGGTGACCATGTCAATAACTTACACTACATATCGGTTCTGAAATTGATTATTGTCCAAAATAGTAAGATTTTTATATTAAATCAGGCTCAATTGATGGTATGAATACGAATTGAACAATTTTGAACACAGATACATCTTAATTTGTTGCTAGAACAAATAAAATGTCCGATCCATAAAACATGGTTATTGTATCAAGTATATCAAGATATGATTGGTAGCATTATTGTATGCTTTGGAAATCGGAGTATTTGGAAAACCTGTTTAAATTAAAGGAAATATATAGAATTATCCAAATTTTAAAGTTTATGTTGTAAGTCCTAAGAAATCGGAGTTAAATTTCGGTTTTTTAAGAACGTACTCTGTTCAAAATGGCCAAATCCATGCATATAACATTAATTTCGAAATAACAACTCTTTTCAAAAGTTAAAAATTCTATTTCCAATGCATCATTTGGAGGGTTCAATGACCACCAGATCCAAAATCCGGGGTCTAAAGTGTAAAAAATCGTAGAAGTGGGAAAAAAAACTGTCCAACTAATTAATTCCGGAGCCAATCGGCCCAAATTTCAAGATTTCGGAACTAAAAGTAGATTTTTTCCAAGTTATTGTGTAAAAAATATTTTATTAAAAATATTTTAAAATGTGTAAAAAATATTTTATTTATTAATACAAGTAAAATTTCCATAAATTTTGTTAATATAATTAAACCAAATATATACTGAAATGATCTGTATACTTACTTTTGTGACGTAAATTTTGCACCTTCTTAACTTCAGCTTAAATGAGAACTCAAAGAACCAAAATATGAAGAAAAAAAGTAGTGAATAATAATTATCATAATTGTTTTTAATAAATAAATGTGTTACTTTTTTGATTTTTGAAAAAATAATATCCTTTTTTAAATAAAACCAATTGTCAGTATTTCTGTATACTTATTTTTGAGACTAACTGTATATAGCAGCGACGGTTTTTATTGAAGCTTTCTAGCACGCGTGATAGGGTAAGTCCTCTTTTTCATAGAGACTTTTTCCCCCTAGTTTTTTCTCAAATTCCTTTTAAATGCCCTTCGTAAAATCTTGAATGTTTAAAATTATGAGTGTAAGAGTTGCCATTTTTATAATTCTGAATGCATTTTTTGAAATATTTTATAAATGAAATAATATCTTTATTTTTTAAATATTGTTTTAATTTTTTAAGCAGATATTTTATTAAATTATAAAAAAATTTACTAAAATTCTTTAAATTAATTTTTACAGCTAAAGGTAAGTAAATTTTTGTTCTTTTCATAGTTATTTATTTTTTATTAAAGATATAATAACATTTTAATACTCATAACATTTGAAAAAATAAATTATTTTTAAATTAATTGAAATATCTTTACGCTGTGAGAGCAGAATAGAAATAAAGCAACTAGCAAAATCACGAACATGAAGCAAAAGCAATGTAGAAAAAACCCCTCAAATTACGATTCGTGCGTGTCTTGCTACTTTCTTCTTTTCCCCCTTTGCCAACAAACTCGACACGCTTACGTGCTCACCCTTAAGAAAAAGTCTCAATGTAAACCGGGACTAAGAAAATTTTGCTGACGCAACATGAAAAACAAAATCAAATCAGTTGCTCATAGACTACTCGTAGACTGGAATCAGCTGATTTTAGCAATATGGCGGAGGCAAACAAAAAAATTTTACGAAAAATCAACAAAAGAAAATGTAAAATGAACCACGGGAGATTTAAAAGAGGGACAAATATATATAGATATATTTCCATCTCTCTTCACCTTACACTTAATTTTTTTCAAATATAAAAAACAAATTGCATTACAGTCAAACCCATTTATAACTTTTTCTTGCTCTTTACGAACTCATCTTAATTACCGGAATTTTGATAACTATTTTGATATAAAAACATATTTTATAAAGAATTCTTGGTTAAAACGAATTACTATTTAGTCCCATGAATAATATTTTATACATTTTTATATCGAACTTCAAAAAATATGCGTTGAAATCAAATAAACGGGTTTTACTGTACATGCAAGTCAAAAAATTTGTTTGTGGTGTTGATAGTGGATTGAAAAGTGTTTTATAATGAAAGAACATTACGGAATAATTAAAAAACAAATCCAGTACACTTTTAATTAGAATCTAAGGCGCAATTTACATGAAGACTTTTCAGACGTCTGTTTTTTCCAATTCTCTTTTGAGAATCTTCCAAAAAATCATGAACATTTATACGGTGATTTTTTACATGCAACTATGCATGTCTTTTTTTTGATGTTTAATTGTATAATCCTTTTTAATTACTTATTCGTAATAAAAATAAAATGAAATTTTTAACATAAAAACCATTTAATTTGATTTAAAAAAAATTAATTACACGCTATAGTATTTTTTTAATGCAAATTTAAATGTTTTCATGTGAAAAAAAGACATTATTTTTTTACATGAGCATAATATCAACAGTACGAATGAGTTTAAAGAGGAATGTCAAAAACAATCATGAAAATCCCAAATCATGTTTGTTTTCTTACCCCCCATTTTTCTCTACCCCGCTCACCACCAATCATCGACAAACATGAAAACAGACGTCTGGGCAAACATGAAAAAAAATCATCGTGTAAATTGGGTGTAAGCAAATATTTAATAAAATAATTGTTTTTTTTGCTATTTTTTTCAAACGAGCGATGAAAACCACAAAGTAAGCAGAGGCGACACGGCCACCAAGCGGCGGAAAGATGCACTAAAACTTGTCAAAGTGGCATCACTCATTTAACCCTTAAATAAAAAGAAGACAGCAAATATTAATATAATATGTATAGCTATCTCTTTTGTTTGTGAGGGTTAAATAAAAAATTGTTTGTTTACATTGAAATGTAAATTTTTTTAAACAAATTTGTGAAAAAAATGAGGAAAACTTTCTTTTTGCGCCAAAATTGGTGTCAATTTTGGCTTCAAAATTGCGATTTCGGCGCAAATTCCTCATTTCTGTTGTGTCATTTAAGAGTAGTAGTTGGAGTTTTGTAATTTTTTATTGGCCGCAGAAAAAAACAAAACAAAAAAACAGCAACATGTAAGTTTCATTTGGAAATTTTTAAATTTATTTTTTTCTAATATTCTCTTTATTTTTCAGGAACCGCAAATGTGTTAAGGATTGTCCAGGAGGGGAGAATCTTCACCGCTTTCCGAAGGATCCGACAAGGTAGGAGTTTGAATTTTACAACTGGTAGTTTTTGATTTTTTGTAATAAAACTCATAACGAACATTGTAACACATTTGAAAATTATAAATTTTAATATATTTATGGCTTCCATTTCAGTGAACTCCGTGCATGATTTGGTCCAATTGGTCCATTAGCTTCAGGTCAGTAGCCTTGACAAAATTTGTAAAATTTTGTCCATAGTGTACCCTTAAACGAAAAGAGAAAAACTTTGTTAATAATGATTTTTGTTTTTTTGTATTATTTTCAGGCACTTGAGGGTATTTACCGCTGATCCAGGAGAGATTTGGTCCAATTCGTCCATTAGCTTCAGGTCAGTAGCCTTGACAAAATTTGTAAAATTTTGTCCATAGTGTACCCTTAAACGAAAAGAGAAAAACTTTGTTAATAATGATTTTTGTTTTTTTGTTTTATTTTCAGGCACTTGAGGGTACTTACCGCTGATCCAGGAGAGATTTGGTCCAATTCGTCCATTAGCTTCAGGTCAGTAGCCTTGACAAAATTTGTAAAATTTTGTCCATAGTGTACCCTTAAACGAAAAGAGAAAAACTTTGTTAATAATGATTTTTGTTTTTTTGTTTTATTTTCAGGCACTTGAGGGTACTTACCGCTGATCCAGGGGAGATTTGGTCCAATTCGTCCATTAGCTTCAGGTCAGTAGCCTTGACAAAATTTGTAAAATTTTGTCCATAGTGTACCCTTAAACGAAAAGAGAAAAACTTTGTTAATAATGATTTTGTTTTTTTGTTTTATTTTCAGGCACTTGAGGGTACTTACCGCTGATCCAGGAGAGATTTGGTCCAATTCGTCCATTAGCTTCCAGGTCAGTAGCCAACAATTAGAAAATTTCCAGATATTAAAAAATTTCTTGCAAAAAACAAAGAATTAATGTTATTACAAATACAACGTATTAAAATGTATTTTTCTTTATTTGCAGATATTACTTACCATTTTTCCACAAGGTACAACTTCGTTGGAGTTCATTTTTGTTATTTTTTTATAAATAAACAAAAAAAAATAAAAAATTGTGAAAATTTTTCAATAAATTTTGTGTTTATTTATTTATTTATTTTTGAACACATGTTAAAAAAGGTAGTATATGGTTGATATTTTTTTCACATTAGTGTGCGTATATGTGATATTTTTTCTTTCTTTCATATTATGGGGGTAAGCTCAGCTGATAATCGCTTTTTACAAACGTCAGTTCTGACAAATCTGGTTATATCTGTGATGAAAACAATCATACAGCTCATCTCACACACTCATCGATTTTTTAATACATTTTATTTTTCCTTTGCTCTAAAATTTTTCCTAATGGCGGAACTCAAAAATGGTAAAAAAAAATGTAAACAAAACCATACGGTTCGAATTTACTTTTTTGACAGCTGTCAATGGTTTCTTATCTGGTTATCTGTGCAGTTGCTGATCAGCACTTGTCAAAGCAAGGTCTGTGCAAAAAATTCTTTCAACAAACAATGTGAAGAAAAGATATATAAAATAATGTACTTTTAAGTTTAAAAAATTAAGGATATAATTATTTTATTATATACTAGCTTGCTGCCCGCTACTTCGTTAGCGATAAATTTTTGGCATTAATTAAATTTTGAAACAACACTTTAAACGATTTTTAATTTATATGGGATATACATAAGTAAATAATTTTCACATATGTAATTACTGAAGTTTTGTATTCTCAAAATATCGTACAATTTATTAAACTTATTTTTATCACTTCATATCAGCTTTTTACTCTAATTTAAATAAATTCATTTTCATCAACATCCGAGATTTTGGATTAACAGGACAGAGCTACGTGCAACTTTGTGACTTTGCCTCCGTAAAAAATACATACCTAAAACTAAAACGGCCCTAACTAAAAAAAATTCAAAATCGACATTTTCATTTTCTGATGTATTACATCAGAATTTTCATCTGATGACTCCATCGTTGATAAAAATTATGTGGTTCCTAGTCAAAAGCGAACAAGAAAGGTTTATAAGAAACCAAATATAACAAATGATATATTATTTAAGAACTATTTTCAAATTAAACAAAAAGAAAGTAAAATTCATTCATATTATATAATGCTGTAAGTAAAGCTTTGTCCATATAAAGCATTAAACTACTGGGTATAAAAATTCCCTATTTTTAAGCTTATTACGATTGTAATATTTTAAACGAAAATAGACTGTACTTTCAGGTTAAAATTAAAATCTGAAAGAGATCTTAAATGAGAGATAGGGTTTAATGTGGTCCGATTTCACTATATTTTACAGTATAAAAATAACTTGCATTAAAATTTATCTCGATTAATCAGATAAATGTCCCTTCATAGCTGTATTACGAAGGGACATTTGTATGGGGTTTGGTGAAATTGAGGACCGATATTTTTTGTTTTGAAATTTATAGGGAACATAAAAACATTTATTTGAACAATCCTAATACACACATGTT